TCGGGAGGCAAGTGGCGATGGATTAGGGGTCGACGAGACCAGCGGTACGTGGCACTTGGGAGCGTGGGTTTCGGGATCATTCCATGGGCGCTGGAGCTGGGTGGAGGCTCTTACAAAATCGAATATCTCTCCCTGGATATATATTTCCTTTGTTACCTTTTTATTTTTACCTGAACGATGTGCAAAATAGTGTAATTATTTTTGCTGCGACTCATTGTTTCAGAATTTCAGGAATTGGAGTTGGTTGATAGCTTGACGCCATGAGAAAGAAGCTTGATACTTGTTTTCCAGCCGTAAGTTTTCTCTTGTACGCTCTCACCCTCTCTATATGTGTATGTAAGTATTAAGGTTTCGAATTGGAGTGCTGCGATTTTTGTTAGGTAATGGTGCAGTAGAAACTGAACTCCAAAAACTTGTTCTGGCCAAAAATATAAGTATTCACATGGAACATCTGCAGTATGAGAAAATAATATTGATTTTATTTTCTTTGTTTTTTTCCTTATCATGCTATTGCAGATTTTGCTAAGGCTCTAGCATCGAAACTTCCAGGGGATCTCAAGGTTTATTCAATTACTGAATTGTTTTTTGATTACCATTTTCTAGCAGTGGATGAGTGTGTGATTTATTTTGATTAATTTTGGGTTGATTTGTTTTCTTAGGTAGTTTTCTTTACGAATTCTGGGACGGAGGCTAACGAGCTGGCTTTGTTGATGGCACGATTGTATACCAGTTGTCATGATGTTATTTCAATTAGGAATGGGTATCATGGCAATGCTGCAGGGACAATGGGAGCCACTGCTCAAAGTAGCTACAAATTTAACTTTGTTCAGGTATATATATTCTCTCCTTTTAGGAATTCACACGATTTTTTTTCCAACATAAATGATATAACGCCTTTATGATAAACAATAAGCTTTGACACTTGACAGAGTAGTTGTGAACTTCTTGTCTTTGATGCTCAATGTTTGACAACGTTCATGTTAGTATGAGAACTGGACTACTGAGAGTTGCATAAGAATACTTTCACAGAACCATGTCTTTTAAAAAAGAACTTAACACAGTAAATCCTTCAGATCTAATAAAGGGATATGAGCAATTAGTAGAGAGGAAGAAATGGTTCATTAATTNGTTAGGTTCTCAATGAACCATTAACCTAGCGCACATCTTGTGGAAGTGATTTTTATGCTTTTAATCGAAAGGTTAATATTTGCTTTTCTGTTCACTATTTACAAAGCAGTAGGTATTGTGAATAAAGCTTAATTGATCTTCTTTCATTTCTTTTCTTGTCAACAGTGCCACTATCAAAACTGTGGGGATATTTTCAGTGACAAGTGTACACAAGGAAGAGGTGGAATTTCAATCATGTATGAACTCAATGATTTGTTTCAAAGATAAATTCTGGTTAATAAATACATGTTGCTTTATTCCTGTCCTTGATGTGTGTGCATTGTTTGTACTTACCGTTTTCTTATATGCTACTTGGTAACTTATTTAGTAATGATTTCATGTAGCTTTCAAGGTATGATAGATTAGTTGTGATATACTTATTAACCCCCCATGTTTTTTTTAATTCCGATGGAGTAGAGAAATTATGACCGACCATGTTATTTCAGTCTCAATTTCGTTTACACTCCGTAATATCATATACTTCTGTCTTTTATCATTGCTTCTTATATCTCATTAGTCTATTTTACTAATGTTGGTACAGTTCCAAACAACAGCACCAAAAAAGTTGTTTTATGCGACCTCGTAGGGCATTTCTCACACCTGGCGAGAGTATTATAGCAACTGGTAATATTTATATGTGGATTTGTGCAGTTCCTTTTTTTTCACAATAATGTAGGGAACTTAAGGATGTATTTGTATATTTCTTACTCTGGTTGTGGTT